ACATTACCCAAATAAAAAGCAGAATTCCTAGTCACCCTTTTGGGATCATACTGTTCCATCTATAAGATGGAAGTATCCTCCTAACAGAAATGCTGTAGAAATTATTACATAGGACGAAAATGGTTCTCCCAAAGATCATGCAGTCTATTTTAGGTCATGTTATAGAGCAGGGGTAGGGAACAGCCAGCCCACGGGCCATATATGGCCACTTAAATCATTTGGTCTGGTTCTGCCAAGGCAACCACAATTCCAGCCATCACAATGTTGCTGTTAAGTGCCCCTGAGTTGGTTCCAACCCACAGAAACCTTGTATAGGGTTTCCAAGGAGCAGCTGGTGAGCTTGAACTGCTGGCCTTGTAGTTAAAACTGACTTTGCAGTTCAGCATATAAACCCACAGTGCCACACCAGAATTCCATATTGGTGGTCGTGATGTGCTGTGGATTCAGTTCTAACTCATAGCGACCCTACATAAGGTTTCAGAGGCTGTAATTGTTTATGGGAGCAGAAAGCCTCATCTTTCTCCCATGGAACAGCTGGTAGTTTCGAACTGCTGACCATGGGATTGGCAGCTCGATTCATAACCACTATGCTACCAGAACTTCTTAGAACTCCACATTGTTGTTGTTGTTAAGTGTCATCGAGTCAATTCTGATCCATGGCAACCCTGTATGGGGTTTCCAAGGAGTGATTGGTGAGCTTGAAGTGCCGACCTTAAGGTTCAAACCAACTTGGCAGGCCAGGCATTAGCCCACAGTGCCACACCATTACTCCAAGTTAGGGGTGAGTTAATTAAATGTTTGACCAATTTAACATGCTAATTTTTAACTTGATAATTTTGTATGCACTGCAAATGATGTTATAAATTTTGGCAGACTAAAGGTTCCCCAGCCCTATTACTGATGAAGAAACTGAGGCTCCTAGCTGTGAAGTGATTTTACCAAGCTCAGAATTAAGTTCTGGATCCTTGTTCAAGCCCTCACAATCCAATGTTTTATACCATGCTGCCTCTCAATGAATGAAATACAGAAAATAAAGAGCAACTGACCTGGCTCAGATTCTGAGACAATCTGCGGAAGGATAAACGTTGATTTTTTTTTTTTTTCTTTCCATTTTACTGTTTAATTTGTTTGCATGTTTTCTGAGATGTTTTCAACATCTAGCATTGTTATGGTGAAGAACTAATATTAAAATGAAGCATGTTTTTATGTGAGTGTTAACTTATAAGTGATCAGTTACAGAGTCAACATTTTCTTTTTTAAGTGTGGCGCTATAGGATATACACTGGACTACAACATTGGTGGTTCACACCTACCAGCTGCTTCTCGGAAACCCTACACAGAGTTGCTAGGAGTCCAAACCAACTCAATGGCACTTAAAACAACATAGAAACTTTAATTTCTCTAAATAATTGTAGAAATTTGGATAATAACTATGCAAAACTGTTAAATGTACTTAGATTTATTTCTATATTTATTATTCTGCTTATTTTTTATTATCTTTAGTGCTGTCAAATCAGTTCTGACTCATGTTGTTGTTGTTGTCAGGTGCCATCGAGTCGGAACCGACTCATAGCGACCCCACGCACAGCAGAACGAAACAATGCTCGATCCTGGGCCAACCTCACCACCGCTGCCACCCCCGAGTCCATCAATGATGCCACCTGGCCGATCCATCTCGTTGGAGGTCTTCCTCTTTTTCTCTGACCCTCCACCCTACCCAGCATGACATCCTTCTCCAACGATTGTTTCCTCCGGACTACATGTCCAAAGTAGGAGAGACGAAGCTTAGCCATCCTGGCCTCCAAGGAGCACTCTGGCTGCACTTCTTCCAAAACAGATCTATTGGTTCTTTTGGCAGTCCATGGCACCCTCAGTATTCTCCTCCAACACCACAACTCAAAGGCATCAATTCTTCTACGATCCTCTTTATTCACTGTCCAATAGTGACCCTATATAGGGTTTCCAAGGATTGGCTGGTGGGGTTGGACAGCTAATATTTTGATTAGCAAGTCAGTGCTTATCCTATACTAGGACTCCTTTAATTTATTATGGCTTAAATGTAGCTGCCCTACTATGGAGTGGTACTGTAGGATAAGTATTGGGCCACAAGGTTGGTTTGAACTGCAAGTATGGAGGTTCAAACTCACTAGTCATTCCTTGGAAACTCTATACAGGGTTGCTATGACTTGGAACTGATTCAATGGTGCTTAACAACAACAACAACAACTATAGTTTAACCATGGGTGAAAGATGAGGTTTTATGCACCTGTATGGAGCTCTGGTAGCGTAGTGGTTATGAATCGGGCTGCGAACCTTACGGTCAGCGGTTCGAAACTACCAGCTGTTCTGCTGGAGAAAGATGAGGCTTTCTGCTCCTGTAAAGATTTGCAGCCTCGGAAACCCTATGCAGGGTCACTATGAGTCAGAACCGACTGCATGGTACTTAACAACAAAGATTTACAGCTTCAGAAACACTGTATAGGGTCGCTATGAGTCAGAACTGAGTTCACGGCATACAGTCATCACCACCACCACCACTATAGTTTAATGGGGAGTATGGTGGATCTGACAAGCACTGGACTGTGAATCACAAGATTGGTGGTTCCAGCCCACCAGCCACTCCACAAGGGAAAGATGAGCGTTTCTACGCCCATAAAGATGTATAGCCTTGGAAACTCTATATTGTTGTTGATAAGTGCTGTTGAGTCAGTTCTGACTCATAACGACCCTGTGTAGGGCTTCAGAAGAGTGGATGGTAAGCTTGACCTGCAGATCTTGAGGTTCAAATGGACCTTTCAGTCCAGTGCATTAACTTGAAGTGCCACACCAAGACTCCTCGGAAACCCTATAGAGAGTTGCTATGAGTCAAAACTGATTTGATGACACTTAACAACAACAAAAACACCGATCATTTAATATCTCTAGTAGTTAAGTCTATTGTAAGTCTTCTCTTTACCAAATATTACACTTAGATCAAATCACATTGTTTTTCATCAGGTTTACTGAGATGTACTTTATATAAGTATTCCCCTTTTAGATATAAAAATCTATGTGTTTAGAAAAGCATAAATAGTTATATATATCACTATAATCAAGACAGAATAGTTTCATCATCCCCAAAAGTTTTCACATTTTAATAAATTCCTTAACTACATCCCCATCCTGCTAAACACTGATCTGACTTCTGTCTTTAATAGTTTTGGCTTTTCCTGAAAGCTTTATAAGTGAAATCATATAGTATATAGCCTTTTCATTTCGCATACAACTTTTGAGAATCAACGACATGCTAGCATGTTTCAGAACTTCACTACTTTGTATTGTTGAGTAATACTCCACTGTTCGGCTATCCCACAGGTTTTCTGTTCACTAGATGATGAACATTTGGGTCACTACTCATTTGGGGCAATTATCAATAAAGCTACTATAAATAGCACATGTGTCTGAACATGTTTTTATTTCTCTTTGATAAATACCTAGAAGTGGGATTACTGGGTTATGAGAAATATGCATAATATGTATAACTAAGAATTTTCTTATAAATAATAGCAAAACTGTTTCCCACATGATTGTACCATATCTCCTTACCACTAGCAATGTATGAAAGTTCCAATTATTCCTTCCTTGCCAATTGTTATTACCAGTTTGTTTAATTTTGACCACTGTAATTATGAGTTTTCTAAGTATGAGTCCTGGTGTGGCACTCTAGGATACACACTAGACTGCACAAGGTTGGCAGTTCAAAGCCACCAGCCGCTCCTCAGAAATCCTACACAGGGTTGCTATGAGTTTGAACCATCTCTATGGCACTTAACAACAACAATATGTGTAGTTATATGTCATTGTGGTTTTAATTTGCATTTCCTTAATGACTAATGATGCTGAGCACCATTTTATGTGCTTATTTGTCATTCATATTTATTCTTCTGTTTGTTCAAGTCTTTTACCCTTTTAATATTTGAAATCAGGAAGCTTGAATCTTACATCTTTATTCTTTCTTAACAAGATCCTTGACCATTCTAGAGTTTTGTCTTTTTAAAAGACAAAACTTGTCTTTTTGACCCAGCTTGTCAATTTCTACATAAAAGCTGACTGAGACTTTGGTTGTGTTTGCACTGGATCTATGGATCACTTTGCAGGAAATTGACATACTGACAATACTGAGATTTCCAAAGAAAGAAAAAGAATGATGTACTGTATTATTTTTTTATTTTGCTTTCCTGTTATTATATTTACATATTAAAATCTTCTTTCATAAAAAAGATACCGATGTATATTTGTTTCTTTTCATCTTTCTAGCAGGATGGTTACACTGGCCAGACAAATAATTTGTAAAGTTTCCCACTGTTTTCATGTTCTGATAATATATAGTATATTATTTTCAAGATTTTGAAATAATTTTTATAAATTTCAAGGTATTTATGAAGATCTGGACCATACATGAAGTATGCTATTTGATATCAAAAGTAATAACAATGGCTTTTTTTAGTGTTCATTGCATTTTTATCATTTACAAAATATTTTTCATTGCATTTAAAATCTAAAAAATATATTTTCTGTCTTTCAAGTATTTCTGACAAGTAAATATAATTGGTAAGATTACAAAATGGTAGATGCAACAGATTACATTTAGAAATATTAATATTTTATATTAGCCACCTTGCTCAGAGTCTTGATGTGATAATGTAGGATATGCATTGGACTGTTAGCCAAAAGGCTGGTGGTTCAAATCCTCCAGCTACTCCTCAGAAACCCTATACAGGGTTGCTATGAATTGGAAGTGACTTAATGGCACCTAGCAATAATAACAACAATAAATCTATTGCTCATGTTTCTAGCACTGAACTTAATTCACCCCCTATGAAGTCTATCAAACTGAAACAAGCCAGCCACCAAGCGGAGTGGTTGCTGGGAAATATGCAGATACGAAGACATGTATATATCAGACCAATCAGACTTTCAGCTTGATATACTAAAGGGAGTAGTCAAAAGGTAATACTCACATCTGAGTTAAAGCGAAGCTGACAGACATTGCACGAAATAACTTGTTTCTTCTTTGGGGGAATGGACACTCCGAATGTGTGGTTAATGACTGCTTTTTGCACAGGATCCATCTGAGGAGCAAATGAGAAAAGAGTCAGTTGATAACTTCAAAGTACAGACAACAGTGGGAACAAATAAAAGTAGCTGTATTCTTCGTGATTGTTTGAACTTTAGATTCCAATGGATGAAAATAATGAATTTCATTCAGTAGTAAGGTACTTATTTTGTCTTCAAGTATTAAGAACAAAAAAAAACAAACAAAACCCAACTGGTCAGAAATCATAAAACAAAAAATACAGGAGAATCACCATAGCTAAAGGTATCTTACATCTATATAAAGAATCTTAAATAAAAATATTAAAAAGAATAATAAAATAAGAAAACTTAAGATTCAAAGGTCAGGGTTAACATGAACTCATTAATATTTTTCTCAGATGAGGTGAAATATTTAAAATGGTCTCAAATGATCTCAATAACAATTATTACAGACTTAAAAATATATTTAATAAACTTAACTTTTGATTTATGGCAAAGTCATAAATGATAGGTCCATATCACAGGACACAAAATGTTAATCTTTATTTTAAAATAGTTCACTATCTTTCATATACTATAGAAGGAAATTCATTCTATTGGAAATTACACACTTAAATGCCCATAGTAGACAGGTTAATATGCATCTCTTGTTTAAATACTGACCACGTTGGTTTGCATGTACCATCCATAGTCAGAGAACTATTCAGTGATGACAGCACTCAACCATTAAAAAAAATGGCACAAAGCCATTAAAATGCTCAGAAAAAGAAATACTCCTATCTGCAAAGCCTATAAAAGGAGAGACCTAGCAATGATTCTTTTGTGTACTCCAGATAATAATCTCCAGCATTAACATCAGACAACTGGCAGTTCAAAGTACAATGCAGACTATGAACAAAGTGTTACCTTATAAACAGATGTAACATGAACAAGGACCGATTCACTAACACCATCTAGGAAATCTCCTGAGGTTAGAGTTGAGCATAGGATTAGTTGATGGTATTTGATAGAGATGAGAAATGAGTACCCTCCCTGATCACGGTATAAATCAGCAAAGTGCAATATTAGCATTTAGAACTTAACATTAGAAAAGAGGTCAGATTACAGAATTGCTGAATACAATAGGAGCCCTGGTGTGACACAGCAGGATAGTGCCCTGGACTGCAAGGTCAAGGTCAGATTGAACTACACTTTACAACAACAACAACAAAAGTGCCCTGGTGGCACAGTGGTTTAAGTGTTGGGCTGCTAACAGAAAGGTGAGAGGTTTGAACCCACCAGCTGCTCCATGGGAGAAAGATGAGGTGGTCTGCTTCTATCAAGATTTACAGCCTTGAAAACACTATATAGGGTCATTGTGAGTTCAAATCGATTCAACAGCAGTGGATTAAAGCAGTCTGTTTTCTGCTACAAGTTTAACAGACAATGTATTCCCACTATAAAGAACAGTTATGGTGGTTTGGAACACTTAAAACAGGAATGAAATATGCTAATATTGGAGTTTTCTAGAGTGATGGAACTATTCTATATCTTTATAGTGGTAGTTACATAAATACATACATGTTAAAATTCATAGAACTACACACGTCCTACAAAAGTTAATTTCATATATGATCATTTTAAAAGTAAAATAGAAAACTATAAAATATCCTGGGAAATCTGAGGATTTTTGTTCATTCTGGATAGGGCCATTGATTAATTGCATTAAATTTTATTAAATGAAAATAAAGAAAAAAACCCTTTCATTTGTCCACGGGACAAAGGAAACCTCAAAGAGTCAGGTTGTAAAATCCTAATTAGTTCTTTGTTTTACTCACAAGTGCATATACTTTGATGTCATCTATCCAGGAGCTCTGGTGGCATAATGGTTACGAATCGGGCTGCGAACCGCAAGGTCAGCAGTTCGAAACTATCAGCTCTTCCGCAGGAGAAAGATGAGGCTTTCTGCTCCCGTAAAGATTTACAGCCTCAGAAACCCTGTACAGGGTCGCTATGAGTAGGAACTGACTCCACGGCACATAACAACTGCAGCCAGAGTGCTCCTTGGTGGATAAGATGGCCAAATTTCGTCTCTCATACTTCGGACATATTGTCAGGAGGGACCAGTCGCTCAAGAAGGATATCATGTTTGGTCAGGTGGAGGGTCAGTGAAAAAGAGGAGGACCCCCATTGGATTGGCCAAGTGGCAGCACCAATGGACTCAAGTGTGGCAACAGTAGTGAGGTTGGCTCAGGATCCAGCAGTGTTTCATTCTGCTGTGCATAAGGTCACTGTGGGTCTCCTCAATGGCACCTAACAACAACAGAAAGCTGTTGTTCTTAAGTGCTGTCTAATTAATTCAGATACATAGTGACCTTGTGCACAACAAAACAAAACACTGCCTTGTCCTGCCCCATCCTCACAATTGTTAATTAAGCTAGCTTGAGCCTATTGCTGCTGCCACTGTACCAATCCATCTCCTTGGGGTTCTTCCACTTTTTAGCTGACCTTGCACTTTAACCTAACCTGATATCCATCTCCAAGGACTGGTCCCTCCTGCTAATGTGTCTGAAGTATGAGAGATGAAGTCCCACTCAGTAGTAGTGCGCTTGTTTTATCTTCAAGTAATAAGTGACCACCCTGGCTTCCAAGGAGCATTCTGGTCGTCTTTTTCCACACAGATTTTTTGCTCTTCTAGCAGTCCATGGTGTTTTAAATATTTTTCTCCAACAATAACTCAAATGTAAAAATTCTTCTATGGTCTTCCTTATTTACTGCCCAACTTTCACATGCATATGAGGCTATTGAAAATACCATGGCTTGGGTATATCCCCCGGGAGCATCAGGACTCAAACCACCAACCTTTGTGGTTAGCAGTCCACTGCTTATCTCACTGAGCCTCATATCCATGTACAACTACATTATTAAAATTAACTTAATTTTTTTCTTTAGGTCAAGTTAAAATTGACTTTAAGAAAACATAAGCAATTAAATTCATGAAATCAGTTTTAATGTACTACTTACTTTCCCCCCATTACTCATTTTGATCGATATTTTGAAAACATTAAAAATGAAAACCTGCATCACCTGAAATAAATGTACATATTCTAGTAATCCCCATACCACAATATGGAAACATTGTGAAAAAAGATAAATCTGGCAATGCATTCCAAAATGTCAGTAAACCAAGATATTTTGACAGTCTCAACCCCTGCCTGAATATAAATTCCCCCTTAATTTTTTTAAAAAGATCATTAAGTGTCTACATAATTGTTTTTAGTGATTTTTTATTCAACTTAATTTTGCTCAAATGTCACATTTGTACCACATGTGCCTGAAAATATTCCTTCCATGTCCCCAAGGCTGAGAGCGCTCTGCCCTCTAAGGGAAATTGAAAAGACTGGCAAGTTCTCAGCATTCTGACCTGAAAGCAAACTAATGACTTTCCAGTAGAAACGTTTACAGCCATTGGTTTTTGTAGTTTATATTCATATCCTGGTGTGGCACTGTAGGATAATGCACTGGATCACAAAGTCGGTTTGACCCCAAAGTCAGTGGTTCAAACTCACCAGGTCCTCCTCAGAAACCTTATACAGGGTAGCTAAGAGTCGGAACTGATTCAACAGCACTAACAACAACATTCATAACCCGAATTATAAAAAAATCACATAATTATGCATAATACTTGTTTCCTGTCATTGACTCTTTTTTTTAATTAATGTTTTATTGTGAATTTTGTGATAGTTTACATGGGAGAACATTAGGATTACATTCTTTCTATCATATATTGTTTCATTGCCATAGTTACAATCCCCTCCATGCATCAGAAACTAACCAAAGTGTATATCCTGCAAGCCTGCCCCCTGGTGGTCAGCACACAGCCCCTCTCTCCCTTTCTGGGTCTAGAGTTCCCAGCAGCACCATCTCTCCAAGTCATTGTCTCTGCCTTCATCTCTGGTGTCACTGTTTCTCTGGGTAGGGTCCCGTCCTATGCTCTTTTCCCTTGATGGTCCCAGGGCACTCCGCTTCTGGACTGCAAAGTCAACCACTTCCTTCCTTTTGCTTCAAAATATCTACCCTTACAACCCTTCCAGTCAGTCCTGATAACAATTATTAACTATTGTACCACAAGAGACCTATCCCTATCTCCTTTCATCAGCCCCACCCAGACAGATTGGATACTACTCAGTGGAGATTCTACCTTCCTCCGCACCCTCTGGATCTAGGCTCCCTCTTGAAAGCATG